GGGGATACAGGATCTGCTTATTTTATTACGACACTCTTGTAAATATAAAATTCTTGTTAATAAACAATATAATAGTGTTTAATATTTTTGTCAAGAATAAATAAAATGTATAAATCCACATTCATATATTTGTATTTTGACATTCTAATCATCACTTGTTAAAACAAACATTACCAACAAAGTCATGTCTACAGCAACAGCCAGTGTCAGTGTAGTAACTGTCTTCTTGCCATATGTTTAGGCACTTAATAGTGTTTAATATTTTTGTTGTCAATTTTCAAGAATAAAGAAACTGTATGAATCCACATTCATTTGTGTTTTGACATTATAATCATCACTTGTTAAAACAAACTTTACCAACAAAGTTATGTGTCTACAGCAATGTCAATGTAATAACTGTCCTTATGGTACACCTGTTTCTTTTATAGATACAAAGGATAAATATTGCCAACAGTTTAAACTAGAATTAAATGTGAGATGAGCTATCTCTCCTAATTATGAAAAGTGGATTGAGATCCATCTACCCTCATGGATTGAGTAATGAATTCAGTTCAAAATTCTGAGATGGTCAGTCCTACAGAAGTCAAAAAAAATAGCAGGAGGGTACAATGTCTGGGATATAACTAGATGAACTCTTTGGTTCAAATAAGCTTATAATTTACTAGGAGAAGGGGACTGTTGCTTTTTTTTTTTTTTTTAAAGATTTAGTGTTTCTAAATATATTAACATAAACAAAATCATTTTTTAGAGTTTTTTAGCCTATTTTCTGAATTAGCTTAATAGTATCTTGGGAAAAAATTGAAATTCTGAATGTGGCTGTGCACTTGGGGTGAAAAGGTATCTGCCTTACTCTCCCTATTTTCACACATTTAAAAAAAAAAAAAAAAAAATCAGGAGAGGTTTCTGGTATTGACACAAAGGTATGTCCCTCTCCTTCTAATCCAGATAATTGATTTTAAACATATATATATATATATATATATATATATATATATATATATATAAAATGGAAAATTTATTCATTGTTGTAGACTTAAAAAAAAGCCCAGCTTCTTTTTTTATAAGTGGATGCTTTTAAAATTTGGATAAAAATTGATAACTTTACCTGTGATTATGATAAACAACTTTATCTTTGTCAGACTAAAATTTTAAATTATTCAATGAAAAACTATACTAAATTGGTGGGGGTAAAAGGTCAGTTATTTTACGTGTGGAAAATTTAGCTATAAACAAACAAAAAATACAATTTGAGCATTATGTTAATAAAAAATGCTCTGAAAAGCTGAACATGGTTCTTCTTAATTTTAACTTAAACACCTTGATCAATTTTATTTTAGTTCCAGTTTAAGTCTGAAATCCTTTTCTAAAATCAAAGTTATTCTTACCAGTTTTACTTCACTTATTTACTGAAAAGCAAAATTTTGATGTCAAATACTAATTCATAAAGAAGTTTTAAAATTCATTTTTTTTTTTTCTAGACAAGTTTTTATGCTTGATCATTTTCTTTAATGATGACACTTGAGAATTTAGGAAATTCCTGCTGCTGCTAAATCTCATACTATGAAGGCATTGTGCTCATGAAAGTCAGCTTGTCCATCCAAATCTCACTGCCTGCTTTGGGCAAACAACCTGGCCAGGTGAATCCTTCTATTGTTTCAATACCCACTGGAAATTTAGAAATTCTTGCTGCTGCTAAATCGCACGTCATGAAGGTGTTGCAGGTGGTATATTGACCTACAAGCAGGTATTGAATGATGGAAGACAAACAAAACTAAGACTTGAGTAAAAAAAAAAAAAAATCTATTGCCAAGTTTATTTTTGTTAGAGAAAATACTTTTGTAAAAATAAGGTTACAGTGCATTAGGCAAAAATATCTGCATGTTCATGTAGTTAGAAGAGCCTTGTCTTAAGAACAGTTTTTTTAGTTGAGAATTGTCCTGAAAAGGACAGTTTTGTGGTTATCGAGGAGTGATAAAAATGTTGGCAATAAGATCAATGATATTTATTATATATTAGCCTTTTGACTAAATTGAAGTACGACAAGAAAGGTTTTAGTCAGAATTTTCAGACACACCTGTATCCTTTTTCAGTGAGACAAGGAATAAACAAAGTGTGACTCACACTTCCAAGTAATGTTGTTGTTGGTTAGAGGACTCCCAGTGGAAATTATATTCTCTGAGTAAACCCAAATCCCTGTTTAATCCCTCAATGTTTCAATTTATTAAAAAAATATATTCCAATTTCAATCTGAATTTTTCTTGTTGGCTGCGGAATGAAGACTCTAAGAGCATGCATCTGATGTCATCAACGTCATAGAATGGTTGGTTGAAGTGTGCATTGACAGAAAAATAATAAATATTAATCTTATCACCAATATCATTTTCTTGGCTTTTATTCCTCAAGTTTTAACCAGCCTATTAAATCTACATATTAAAAGTAGTACACACAGACCATCTTTTGTTTTAATCATTACATTGTTTGTAATATTTGTCACAAAAAATACATAGGTAAAGCATCAAGGAATCTAAATAAAAGATTATATGAATACAAAAGTGACATTTTACAAAATACATTAAATGCATTGGTTACCCATCATAACAAGACTGATCACAACTTTAACATATAAAATACTACCATGATCAAAGGAGAAAATAATTCACTATGATGTAAATGTCTAGAGCGTGCCTCAGTCACAAGGTGATCTCCAGTAAATTTCCACCCTGGCTCTTACAACATTTCAGCATTCCTAGCAGATCTTCTAATATCACAGTATGGAATACCTACTTATAAAAGTGATAGAAAGAAAAAGACTCTAAATGAATTTGGCTGAAAAAAATTCTAAAATTCCTAGCACCTTTCTGTCATCTTACCAACATAACAAAATAATTAGCCTGATGAAGGACAAAACACATCACAAGTCAGCTTTTTCCACTTTGTCATGAAATTTCCCCCATCCTGCTCTTGAATAAAAATATATATTGTTATCACATATTTAGCCCATATCGCCTGACGATAGCGAAAGTTTGAAACCAAGGTAGCATGATCGTAATTTTTTAATATTCATAAGCTCTGCATGTTAAATATTTATTTTCTTTATACATGTATTGAGCACTTTTAATACTACTATTATGGCTTTAGTTTGAAGAGAAAGTAAAGACAAAAACTGTCCAACATTTGGATATTTCTTTATTATATTGATCGTTAATCTATGCTTTTGGCTCTCATAAGCCATCATCAGAGTGGTTATATGGATATTACAACAGTTCACCATCAAAGATGACATCTTGTTTTGTTTACATAGAAGTTTACTATGCAATGATAACTGTCATAGAAAAGCAGATGCAGGTCATAAATTCATAATGTGGTTCTATGACGGACATGATCACATGAAAGAAAGATATATATATATATATATATATATATATAATGATAAAATATAGTTTTAAGGTATGCTTTATTAATAAGTGCTCCATATCAGGGATAGTGTATGTAAATATAAAACTGGACATTGAAGTCAACACCCAGTGGCAAGTCTTTCATTCTTAAATAGAATAGTCAGGCCATGGCCTGACTATCATCACTGGGTGTTGATCTCAATGTTCACCTATTTGATAAAATCCAAAGAAGAATAAGCAATATTATAGATTCTGATCTGGCGGCTCAACTTCATTCACTTTCTCATCGACATAAAGTTGCCTCCTTGTGCCTTTTCAATAAATACTTTCATGATAATTGTTAAGATGGTACCTAGACTTTATGAATTTAAACACAGTACTAAACTGGCATTGAGATCCCGTCCACTTATAGTTGAGCTGGTTAGATGTAACTGTAAATTCTATGCTAACGGTTTCTTTTCTTGCACTTCTCACTTTCCAGGCAACTTTAATCTTCAAAAATTTAAATGCAATGTCAATCGTTATCTACTGTCCTCCTGATTACTCTTTTTGTTCTCACTCCTTAGTAATACTTTCTTATTCTTTCACACCCTGTAACTTCTTGTTTCTCTGTGGCTTTACTTCCTTGCATGGGGTGAAATAGATTTAAAGAAAAAGAAAGAAAAAAATATAGGCTATGATGTGGTGTCAAGCCTTGGATTGTAACGTTCCTAGAGATGATCTCAATAAGAATACTCAGTGTATTTGGGTGACAGAGCATCTGCCATAGTAAAACTTTGTGAAAGAGAGATTCTTTGTCCAGCAGGACTTACCGTGCTTTGTGCAAAATTAATCCCAGTCTTCCCTCAACAAAAAACATCACGGCTTGGTATATATATATTTCCAAAGAAGCTAATTGTATCTCTTTACTGCCATAATTACTCAGATGCATTCTTTTATTAAAGTGGTTTGATGCTTACTGAAATTAATTTTCATCCTTTACTTGCAGAATTTAAATCTGGATATGAAAAAAAATGTACAAAGGCTTTCAGATTGTCATTTTTTATTTTGGTTGACATGTAAACCTGTGTAGACTTGTGCATAATGATGTATCTTCATGAAATTTGATTACATCTTTGAACCATCTAAATTCTTAACAAATGTTTAAATAAAATATTTTGTCTAACTCTGTAGAAAAATTATCATTGAAAACATAAGGTAAACTTTGTTAGACTAGAAAAAATAATTTTTGGTATGTGGGTAGGAAAGTCAGAAAATGTTTTCTTTTAAATTAGATGTTTTTAGTAAAATAAGTACTATTCCACACTAAGTGACGAGATTTACTAATTTTGAAAGTGGAATTTGTCACTCATTGTGGAAAGGAGTTAGTAATATCTTAATATATTTTTATAGGAATTAAATATTTTAATAAAGCAGTTGATTAAAATATTACTTTAATTACTATAAATTAAATAAAACTTCATTAGCACTATTAAAAAAAAAAAAGTAATATTTTAATAAAAATTTTCTCTCCAAATCTTTCATATCCTAACAAAATGTACCTTATAAATATGATTTCCTCTTCATCTCTAATTCCTTTCAACAATTTTCTTTTAACTTTTTCAGGGTACAGTATTTCCTAAAGATGATTTTGATTGTGAGGCAGCATGTAGAACTCTGAAGGAGGCTATGGATGGTCTTGGTAAGGATTTTTTTTTTTTTTATGTGTGAGTTTCCCCCTTCCAACTGATTCCTGTTAATACATTCAGTGCCAAATGACATTTATTACCATCTCCTTCTTGAAAATTGCACTTTGTCTTCATTTTGTCCACAAATTGTTATAATTGCTATGCCTGCTTTCCAGCAAATGTATTAACTTCTACATGAATAAGCTTCCTTTTTAAATATCTACTGCTGAACTCCAACTTTTGTAACTTGGTTTAAGCTTATTGCTATGTAAACTGTTCTAAATTCATTTTATTATGAAGACTTAACTTATTGCAGCTTTAAAATCTTTTTTTCTTGCAAGTCTAAAGTGGTGTTGCTGAAAAGTATAAAACATTTTAAGAAATGCTTATAACTTAAAAGTTTCTAAACAAAAAAGTGGATTGATCTGCAAGAAGATATTTGAAATTTTTGAATGGAAACAAGATGTAGAATATTGAAAACATTGGCTAGACATGAAAGCTCTTGAACCACCAAATTTTAAACATCACAAAGAGAAACATAATTTGGGTGATGTACATAAAAACTGATTTTTCAGCAAGAGTATTTAGAAATAGAGCTACATTGGCTGAACTAGGCTTTTTGTCATTCTTGAAAATAGTTGATTAAAACTATTTAGAAAACTGGGGTGGAGGGGTACCAGAATCTGTAAAATTATAATTCAAAGTTGATGATGCCAAGATGAACGCAGGCAATTATTGCAAGACTTTTTTTGAGTAATATAGATCATAACCAAGAAGCTTTAAGTGAAAGAATCTATTCATATAATGATACTCCTTCACACTATGCAAGGCTGTCTATTGCCCATGTTACCAAAAGACTTCAGATCCACCAAATTAGTGGAATGGCTTCAAGTCTTTCCATATATTTTTCCAATAGAAAACTTAGTCAATCGTTCAAATTTCTGAGAAAATTCAAGCTAGGATTTGTGGAAAGCAATAAAAATTGCTGCAAGTAATGTTAGACAAAATTGTTGAATGGTTAACAATTTCGTGCTTGAAAGGCTGAAGGTTATAGAACATCAAGCAGCCATGTAAAATAATTTAGTTAGGTATATTGTGTTAACCAAATATTTTCTATGATTGTCTTTACTTATTTATAAATAAATATCTGTTATACAAAAACTGAAGCCAACAAAGAAAAGTTATATATTTTTGTTTAATAACATTATTAACTGGAACTAATATAATTCATATAGATGTTTTGTTAGTTGCATTATTTACATTATTCGGACTATTATCCTCATCATTGCCATATTCACATCACCTGAAGAAGGCCAGAGTGTACAACGGCCAAAACGGTGTGAATATGGCATAAGGATAATGGTCCAAATAATGTAAATAATGCAAGCAATCATAATTCTTCATCTCATACATATAGACAGATGTTTTATATTTTTATTTTATTTAATTTTTTTTTTTTTTTTTTTTGTCTGAAAATTTTATCACCAATTACAGACTCTCATGCACATTTCTACCTATACATTGGCATTTTATCTGCTGTTTATGCACAAGTGTATTGTTCTGTTATAGACATTTTGTAAATATTTTGTATGGGAGAAACAATATATAAATTGTTATATATCAAGAACAATTTTAGGGAAATCTGTTACAAAGTGGAAAGTTTTTGTGATGTGTTTTGCTCTTTGACTTCATCAGACTAAAGTGATTATGTTGATGTGACTATACATGTGCACAAAGAGGGCATTGTAAATTTAATTTTTTTTATGTGTTTTTAATATATGGTGTAGTCAATTTAATTTAGTTTTTTTCTTTTTGGTCATGTTTTTATCACTTTTGTTATTAAATATCCTACATTGTGATAATAGATCTGCCAAGAAAGGTGACCTATATGAACCTCAACATAAATTTACCACAGATGACCTACCAATTAAAGCACTTTCTATACATTTTTTTAAATCAAAATTATGGCCACTCATTACAGTGAGCAACTAATGCATTGAGTGTTTTGTCAAAAAAAATCTCTTTTGTATTTATATAATCTTTTATTTAAATTCTTTAAGGTTTCTTCCATGTATGCCTTGTGGCAATTATTACAGGACAGAATAAATTCCAAGTTTTAGATCTATTATTGCAATCTGGAATATTTAATATGTGATAAACACAAAGAAAGAAAAAGCTAACTGAAATCAGCTACACAATGTCCAAAACATATTTTTTTTTAAAAATTAATGTTTCTGCATCTCGTCTCTTTCATATGTGTAGTCACATCAATGTAAGCTTAACTTTAGTCTGATGTTCTAAAGAGCAAAACACATCACAAAGTTTCCACTTTGTCATATATTTTCCTAAAATATTCTGTACAAAATTTATTTTTCAAGAGATTCTTTTATAAATGCTTTGTTTGATTTTGAGTCACTGTATAAAAAAAAAAAAAATGGAAAGTTACCAATATTGTAACATTTTCAAGTATTTTTAGCTTTCTAAGATTTAAATAAAATTGTGGCTGGTGGTTTTCTGGATGGTTTGCAGTTGACAAAGCTCAGTGTATAAGATTTGTTTTTCTTTCTTTCCTTTAGGAACCAATGAAAGTGATATCATTACAGTGCTGACCTCTCACTCAAATGCTCAGAGACAAGAGATAAAAGAGCAGTACAAACAATTGTTTGGTGAGGTAAGGCAAAACCTTTTTTATGGCAATATTTAAAGAAATCAGACTTTGATTCTGAGAAAATGTTTTGTTTTTATAGATTATTGTTCATGTAATTCGTGATTTCATGGTGTGACACAATGGTTGCCCTACTCAATTAGAGTTCACACATATAGTCAAGTAGACTATAAATTATTTTATCTGGGCCTGGAGTGACCATGGTCTTTATGATAACCAAGAATAAAATCTAAATGCGATAACTTCAAAGCAGCCACCTGCTGTCCCCAAGTAGAAAAACACTCTACTGAAAGGTAGATGATTTTAATCATGGGCTTACATAGTCATATACAGTCCAAGAGTTGAAGTCAGTTATGGTTAGATTACAGAGAGATGTAGAAATGGAGTTCTCACTGGCCAAAAAGATTTGGTCCATTAGTGTGTCATGAGAAGATAGAAATTGCAGCAAAGATGTCCTAAGTGTCACTTCCCACTCAAAAAAAAAAAACAAAAAAACTGTATGGTGAATCCATGAATCTGGGGGTTTCAGATCAGGTGAGATGCCCATTCCACTTTAGCTTTGTGGCTGATGATACTCCCCAAACTTTTCACGGAGACATACCATGGTAACACTAGCAGTATGAAGAGCACCATTCTGCTGGAACCACTGTTCCTCCTCATCAAGTTCCTCACGCTCTTACAAGCTCTCCCATCTGAGAGGATGCTGCTTTGTTTCAACAACTGTGAAACATTCTGTACACATTATTTCTCGGTTTTTGTTCACACTGACACAAATGGGAATCTACCCACAACATAGTGTAGGTGACCCATTAATGAAAAACTGCTTGAGTGGCCTGCTGGTATATTCCCAATGGATAGGATTTTATATTCATTTTAGTATTTACAGATAAACTCGTTTCAACATTAACCCAGGATTGTTTGTGCCGACTCTTGCTGACAGAAACCCCAATTTTTACTTTTATCTATGGTTTGATTTCAGATTTTTCTCCTAGACTGATTGTCAACCAAGATCAGAAGCCTAGTTTGCCTTTGTATTAGGGGAAAGACCGGTTCATGCTTTTCCAAGGACAATAGTATGAAGTGAACATAAGACATGCCCAGAATCTGAAATCTACTTCTTGATTTCATTTTCATTATCAAATCTATTATGCTGTCTGCATATCAGATATCTAAAGTGACACAAATAGTAAAATCTTACATAGGAAGTAATCAGATGCCAACATTTCTAAATGACATATACATAGTATGCAAACAGATGTACTGAATAGAATGAGTTTTAAAAAAAATAATTGATCTTTTGTTGGCAAGATATTCCTTCAGTATCTGTCTATATTTCTGAAATTAAGTATTATGTACATTATTTACATTATTCAGACTATTGTCCTCATCTTTGTCACCATATTTATTACGTTTTGGTCATTGTACGCTGCGGCCTTCTTCAGGTGGTTGGAATGTCGAACGAAACCCTTTATTTCACTCGTTGGGATAGACTGTTCTAGTTCCACATGCTATGTTTTATGGATGTCAGTTATCTCCTGTTAATTACCCTCTCCAAGTTCTCTACTGTGCCATCTGCCTTGAGGACACATCTGTCCTTGAGGACACATGGCACAGTGGATAAAGGTGTTAGTTAGATCCAGTGACAGGACCCAAAGAGTGAGTTCAATACCTAGTTAAGGCAGTGGAGAAATTTCAGAGAGGAATTAACAGGAGATAACTGACATCCATTAAACATGGCATGTGGAATTAGAACAGTCTACCCCAGTGAGTGAAATAAAGGACTCAGTTCAACATTCCAACCACCTGAAGAAGGCCAAAGCATACAATGGCCAAAATGTTGTAATAAATGTGGCGACAAAGATTCAGATAATAGTCTGAATAATGTAAATAGTGAAGATTTTCCTTCATGAAAATGTCTACAGAGTAGAAACGGTACACTTTGATCTTTCTTTGTCACAGAAAAATTTATAATAGCCTACTGTTGTTATACCAAGATATATAAGTATATATCTTGGCATAAGAACATGAAAACGATCCAATATTAAGAATAGATGAGAATTACCAATATAATGTTTCTAATTAAAAGTGGAATTTGATTTAAATATTAAAATTATGTAATTTTAATCCAAATTACCTGAAGAGATCATAAGTATAATTTAACTCTGTTAGCACCCTCACCAGTACCATTTTGTGGCTTTGAATTCTGAAATGAAGTACTGTCATCACTTAATGAATTATGAAAAAGTCTCCATTGTTTTAATCATTCCTACTTGGCCTCTTACTGTTGTTGTTTATTTGATCATCCTGGAGCACTGGCTTTGGGCCCCACTCCCTCTCCCACCTTTCAAAAAGATGGACACAACATACATCTGAAGTTAAAATTTATGGATCAAAACGATAAACTTGTTGGATTAATACCAGACTGTTCTTTTGTTTGATTTTTAATAAACTGTATTTCACATTTGTCTTGTTTCTTGTAGGATCTTATTGATGACTTAAAGTCTGAGCTTGGGGGAGATTTTGAAGATGTCTGCCTGGCACTCTTGGATCCTCCCCGTGTTTATGATGCCCATGAACTTCACCGAGCCATTTCTGTAAGTCCTCATTTATCATTGGCATGGTAATAACAAAGATCAAAATCTGACTTTGACAAACATTGGCACCAGTGTTCTCTTATTTTTAATAAATGAAGAATCTTTTTCTTTTTTTACTCATTTCATCCAAAGCAAGGCAATAAAGCCACTAAAACACAAGGGGTTACTGAGTATGAGAGAATATGAGGAAAAAAAATTAAGGAGAGATAACAACAAAAGAATAGGAATTAAGACAGAATATAACAATTGATATTGCATTTAAATTTTTAAAGATCAAAGTTGGCTTGAAAACAAGCTGGAAGACTTCCACAAGCAAGAAGTGCAAAAGAAAAAAACTGTTAGCACAGAACTTAGTTACATTTAGCCATTTAAACTGTAGAATGATGAAACCTTACCACCAATCTAATTCTGCACTTAAATTCATAATGTCTAGCTAGTTTAAATGAAAGTTCATCAGAACAATTACCATAAAAGTATTTATAGAAAAAGCACAAAGAAGCTAGGTTACAGTGGTGGGAAAGTGACAAGCCAAAGTGCCAGTTCATCAGTTTTGAGCATCCTTTTTTATTATAACTTGACACTCTGAACATTGAACTTGATAAACTCAATAGCAGGATTTTTTTTCTAAAATTATGGATTAACACTTTTGAACTACTCTGCCATTTATTAATCATTTACGGTACTAAACTAAATAGTGGTACATAATTATAAATTGTTCTACAGTGTCAGATTTTATTAGGCAAGTCAATATTTTCAAGATATATTTATAAGCAATTATTCGGCTATTGCTTGAAAACTAATTCTATCTAAATAAAGACAAACATAAAGACACTTCATTTTGTTTATGTAGATTATTAAAATGACTGAGGGAAGTAACTACACATTAATTTACTACCAAATGCTGATTTACCTCCCTTACTGCTATACCTTTATGCGGGAATAAATATTTGACTTCCTTGAGAAATAACTTCTTTGACCTTATTTTTGACCTTTCATGACCTTCAACATTAACTTAGGTCAACTTCCCATGCATGGGAAGTGTCATAAGCTATTGCCAAGTTTGGTTGAAAGCATCCAACAGCTTGAGCCTATAGTAGACACGGATAAATGCTAAATTTTATTTGTCGAGATGTATTTTGATTTTTCACCTTATATCTACCCTTATTAAAAATATTAACGGCTAGGCATTCCATTAATTTGTTGTCTTTGCAACTGTTTTTGCCAATGTAAGCAATATTTAGCTTTGCAGAATGTAAAACAGCATTGTCTTGTAGGAATATATTCTTAAGCTTAAAGCTTCTTAGTTGTGACCTGTAACTGTAAAAAGATCTTTTCTCCAAGAAATTGGCATTATAGGAATGACTTCCCTGATGTAAAAATGGGACCCAGCTTTGATTAATAGGAACGACTTCCCTGATGTAAAAAGGGGACCCAGCTTTGATTACTAGGAATGATTTCCCTGATGTAAAAAGGGGACCCAGCTTTGATTACTAGGAATGATTTCCCTGATGTAAAAAGGGGACCCAGCTTTGATTACTAGGAATGATTTCCCTGATGTAAAAAGGGGACCCAGCTTTGATTACTAGGAATGATTTCCCTGATGTAAAAAGGGGACCCAGCTTTGATTAATAGGAATGATTTCCCTGAAAAAAAGGGGACCCAGCTTTGATTACTAGGAATGATTTCCTGATGTAAAAAAGGGGACCCAGCTTTGATTACTAGGAATGATTTCCCTGATGTAAAAAGGGGACCCAGCTTTGATTACTAGGAATGATTTCCCTGATGTAAAAAGGGGACCCAGCTTTGATTAATAGGAACGACTTCCCTGATGTAAAAAGGGGACCCAGCTTTGATTACTAGGAATGATTTCCCTGATGTAAAAAGGGGACCCAGCTTTAATTAATAGGAATGACTTCCCTGATGTAAAAAGTGATCCAGCTTTGATTATTATGATGCAGTTTTTTCTTAGTAAGGCTTATTGATCTAGGTCAGTTGATATTAATTTCACTGTTTAAGAAAATTGAAATAATAGCTACTCACATATTTACTGACTACAAATAACCTAGTAATAATAATGTTGGATTAAAAATCCATTTAAAAATGATTTTCTCACAAATGCAGACTTGGTAGACATAATTTTTTTTTTTTTTTTTTTTTTTTTTAAACAGTGTTTAAACAAACCTGTGCATCTGCTAAATATAATATTGCAAATAAGAGAAAATGCTGGATTAGAATTAAAATCTAATTAAATTTCAGATATGAAAATTAAATGAGCAGACGCACATGAAGGAGAGGGGGAGATGCTGAAAATTAAACTTTTTTTTTTTTTTTTTTTTTTTTTTTTTTTTTGAATGTTTCATTTACTTTTACATTACATTTTTTTTAAATATATTTCATTTACTCTTTTTTTTTTTTTTCTTTTTTTATCACTTTTGCTATTAAATATCACGCATGATAATGGAAGATAAAAACATCAACAAAAAGAAAAAAATTAAATGAAATAACTAAAAAATAAAATTTGAAATGAATTTTTCAGCATCCCTTTCTTTCATATCAACATCATTTCAGTCTGATGAAGAATGTTGTTTTCCATAAAAAAAAAGATCCTTCAAGCATTGTGGATTGCAGCATTGTCTTACTGGAAAATCCTGTTTTCTCTACATAGATGAAGGCCTTCAGTAATTAGAGATGCCAACATGTCAATGTAATTAGCAGCTGTTTGACCACTTTTTACTTCCTATACCTCAAGAGTTCCATTGTATGAGAAATTGACCATAATTGATCCACCACGTTGTTGAGAAATTTCTTTTGGGACATCTTTTGCATGCCAGTAATGCTGAAAACCATCTGGGCCATCAAAGTTGAATTTTTTTCTCGTCTGAAAACAACACTTTCTTCCCTTTATCCACATCCCATGTTTGCTAATCAGAAGCAAATTGTAAACAGGAGGTTTTATGGCAGGAAAGAAGGCAGCCACCTTTTGAAACACTCTCTTATTTAAATGCCATCAAATTGTTCAAGAGCTACATTCAGCATCTGTATTCTCTTTTATCGGATTTGATGTTAAGCTTGAATCTTTCTTACCTTCTTGCCTAATGCATCTGTCCAGAGATGGTGAGATTTTATTGAAGCGACCACTTGACTTTTTTTTTTTTTTTCTAATTAAATGTAAATGTTTCACAAACATATTTCAATTAAAGTAACAGTATTTTATATTTTTTTAACCCTTTTGTAGCTCATCTTAAGATTTTAACAAGAAGTGTATATAAAGTGGATATTGAGGTAAACTGCCGGTGGTAACAGTAAATGCAATTGTCAGGCAATTTAAGCATGAAATGCTGTCACCACTGGGTGTTGATTTCAATATCAACTTTTATATTTATGTACACTCTGTCTCTGATATTGAACAATTTAATCCATAAATACAGCATACCTTAAAGCTATATTTTTATCATTTTATATAGATAAGTGAACATTGAAGTCAACACTCAGAGGCAACAGGTTGTTTCATGCTGGACGCAACTGTCAGGCAGCCTGTCACCTCTGGGTGTTGACTTCAATGTTCACTTTTATATTTACATATGTTCTCTCTAATATTGAACACTTTATCCTATAAATATAGCATACCTTAAAACTATTTCTTCATACATATATATATATATATATATATATATATATATATATATATATATATATAACCATTGAGCTTAGAGAGTGGCTGTATACAGCTAGCAGTTTAGATATTTCTGAACAGGTTTCTCACTAGATATGATATCTCTATGAAAGTGATATTTAAGAACATGACTCAAGTTTCAGGTTAATGTTTTGATTTTATAGCAATTTGTAGTGTTGGGCAAAACTACGTCTCGTGCAGCCTATATAATTCAATTTCCTTATCTTCTATACTAAACTTGTTATAACTGATCCATACACCAAAGTATTTGAAGTGTTTAGTACTTTAACTTTACATCCTGAATGTTTCTGATAGATTCAATGCATGTCTGATCACTGTTTTTTTTTCCAATTCAAATCGAGGAGAAAATTTAACCTATGATGATTCAGATGTAAATGTAATTTCAGCGTCTAATGAACTTTGCTTGAAGTTAGGTTTAAATCTTGCAACATTTTGGGTAATTACTTTGCTATATCAGTCTGGTGCCTGGGAAGTGGTTCCAAATTCTGCTGCTCCTCTTCCCTCAAGAAAAGCATTCATCCATTTTACTCTACACTTTCCAACTGCCAGTTTTCCTGATAAATTCTCATGGCTGGTATTCTGCAATGGTTAATGAAGAGTGGATGAGTGAATAATTTGGCAAATCACTCTCCAATGCAGGCAGTATGCATGATTAAAAGCTCTTTTAATCATTGCTAACCTCGATGAGCTATAAAGAAAAACTACTTGGGTGTTGGAGTTCCCAAAATTGAAAAATTTAATCTTGCATTAGCAGATAGATCAAAATATTAATATCTAATTATTAAAGCAATGGCTTTTAGAATGTCAGAGCACATAGTGTGGATCAACATCACATTTAATAGCTTGTGTGACTTGATTGCTAAAAGTGATATTATAAGTATCAAAGAAAAACAGGTTGGCTATTTTACACCAATTAGGACAAAAATTGACCAGATATAAACTGTAATCTAAAATTGAAATAAGCAGCATATTAATCTTGTAGTAAAGTGTAACCCGGATATAAGAGAGTTGTCAGGACCGGAGAAGAAGTCTCTTATATCCGGGTTTGGTCTATTTTATATACATTAACACAGGCCCTAATTTGGGACCAGAGAAAATCTCTTATATCCGGGTTTCTCTTATATCCGGGTTTCTCTTATATCCGGGTTTCTCTTATATCCGGGTTTCTCTTATATCCGGGTCTCTCATATCCGGGTTACACTGTAGTAGTATAATTAGTTGTAATAATATTAAATTGATCTAATCCTTTTTTTTCTTTCTCTTCCCTTTTAGGGGGCTGGAACCAGCGAGAATCCACTCATTGAAATTATGGTGACAAGAACTAATGAAGAACTTGAAGAAATTAAGGAAATTTATAGAACTGGTTTGTAATTAAAAAAAAAAAAAAAAAACAATTTTAAAATATTGAAAAATTAAGTTGCTTGGTTCAGAAATATAAACTGAAATTTAATTTCAACCAATAGCTAAATGTTAAGCTCCTCCCACAACTTAAAATAGTTTCATCAATTGAATTTGGCAAAAGTGTCCTATTCCATGCTAATAGGAATATATACTTGAAAAACATGGTGGATAAAATAAGTAAAGGTTTATTGTGAAAACTAATACAATAAGAATAAAGGTAAGTTATGTACAAGGTCGTCACAAGTCAATCCAGTAGTGAGGGCTACTATTGTAAAGTCGGTAGTTCTCGCATAAGTCTCTGTCGTACTCAACAGATCCCAGCTAGTATATTTAGCTACCCCCCCCCACGAGGGTTGCATGTGGTACAAGGCCAGTTTAACGTGGGTTGTTCGAGTCCATAGGCTCGGCCAAAAATATTCCCTTTTGAACCCGTATAAATGGGTTCAGGGGCAGTCTACCTCCCCGAATGAGACTGCCCTTTGGCAGAGCCTCATCTGGGTTCCTCTCTGCCCAAAGGCAGAGAGTTCAACTGTTTAGCTGGAACAGGTCACAGCTAGTCTCCGTAGTCTGTTGACTTACAGATACTTATAGATAGTTACTACCTATCGTGTAGTCACACATAGGGGTAACAGGTTATTCTATCACATCAGGAAGTTAAAAAAAAAAAAAAAATCTTAAAGTAAATGTTATCTACATTTACTAAGCTTAGTGGAGTCTGGCACAAGGTTATAAATGTAAGGGTGCCAGAAGTGCCTATATCAAAGTTTTCCAAATATTTTGCATTGACTACACAACTTTTTTCTTTTTCTTTTCTTTTGCAACAATTTGTTTTCTTAAACAAAACATAATTCAAATTTATATAAAAACGAAGTTAAGTGAAAATTTTTAAAAATTATCAGTCTCAACAGATCAGATTGAAATAAAAAAACAAACAATCTATGCAAGTGTCATAACCTATTTGAGCGAAATGGCTTGAACAATTGCTATAAATTTAAGTATTACATTTTTTTTGTTAAAGTTTGTTAATTTAAATTTTCTCTAACCTTTTGATATTGAAAACTATATTTGCAAATATTATGGCATTCATTACCTAAATTTTAATACTTCTAATTTTTTTTCATGGGGGAGGGGTCTAGTATTTTTTGTCTTTTTAATACTTTTAATTTTTTTCTTGGTCTAGTATTTTTTGTCTAGTTGTTTTTTTTTTTTTGTTTTTTTTTGTTTTTTTTTTTAAGCTATAATTTGAATAAATATAATGCTAAAGTTTTTAAATTCAATTATATTTCTCTGTATAAATTAGACACTTTTGACTAAACTACATTGATAGTTTTCTTTCCTATTTAGATTATAGTACATGATTATAGTATGCAATAAGATATTTATTTTTCTATTGTAGAATATGAAGTGGAATTGGAAGATGATCTGAAGTCTGACACCAGTGGCTACTTCCGCAGAATGCTAGTTTCTCTGTGCACTGCATCTCGAGATGAAGGCTGGTGGGCTGATCCAGAACTGGCCGCATCAGATGCACAAAGAATATATGATGTAATTTAATGTTTTTCCAGTTTTTTAAATATTTTTCTTTAATCTAATATTTTACTACAAACATATGCAGACATGATTAGAGGTTCATTAGGTACGAGGATGCACTTACACATATGCACAAGTACTTTCTCTCTCCGATTTCAACAAATGCTTTATTTTTCAGGCTGGTGAGGGCCAAGCTGGTACTGATGAGTGTGAAATTAATTCTGTTCTTTGCCAGAGGACTTTACCTCAGTTACAGGCAACTCTTGTTGCCTACCAAGAACTTACTGGTAATGATCTTCGTGAGTCTATTGAGAGCGAGACCAGTGGTTCTGTACAAGAAGGTTATTTGGCTATCCGTGAGTATTGTAGTTTGATTACATAAATTTCAATTTTATATGAACAGGCACCCGCTTTAAAATGAAAAAAAACAATTTTTTTTTTTTTTTTTTTCATTCTAACAAAGATTTTTTTCTTAATACAATACAATATCATGTCCATGAAAAAAATAATAATAAAATAATTATTACAATTATCATTAATTCACTCTTTCTAAACCAGTGAAAATCGACCACACTTTTCTCCTCTACATACACATGCACACACACACACATAAACACAGAACAACATTCTCACTATTGGACAAGCAGTTTGCATGGATAGGTTATCAACACATGCGTCAATGAAAATTTTGTCTCCTTTTCCTTTTTTCAGCAACATTTACCTTTTAGCACACCCCCAGGCACTTCTTTCATTCATTGTAATATAAATTGAACTGCACCACATATTTGATTTAAAAGAACTGATCTGACGTGCAAATTTTTGGGATAACAACTGAGACTATACTTGATTGAACAATTTAGTTCATGCCACATTGATTGATAAACTCTTACAACAACAAAAAATTCTCAAATTGCCATATTAGTAAAAAAAAATGAACTCTTTAAAAGTTCAACCTTATCATTGCAACTGCACACTCCAAAAGTTTGTATCTGTTAGCAATAACACATTTAAAAAAAAAAAAAACATTTCGATTCACATTTAATTTTTCGTCTTGGATGCTACCTGAATTTTTACCAAAATCAAAATAAGTTCCATGCCTGAGGATGACTGAATGTAGTTGAAAGTATTTGCGAAAAACAGTTTATAATTCTTAAAAACAAGGATCATAACATTCATTGAGTGATTTGTAGATTAATGCACCTTTTAAAATTTTGTTTGTGAAAGGATTTCGCCATTTTATATCATTAACTTTACTGAATCTACTCTTTGTATGAATGATTCAATGTAATATAAATTGAACTGCACCACATATGTATAAAGGAAGAGGTTATAGTAGTTCCAACAAGAGAAAAGTTTATATATTAAAAAGAGAAACTGCAAACGTTTTTGGTTGTAAAGTTGATTTTTTTTTTTTTTTTAAAATATTATGCATTAATGAAGGTCATGAGACCAGAAACACATGTAGCAAAATTATGGAAAATAAAGCATTTTTTTTTAAAAATCCACTTTACAACCAAAAACATTTGCGGTTTCTCTCGTGTGTGTGTGTGTGTGTTAGAAGCTTATAATTATTTACTCCCTTACAATTTTTATATATATATATATTACATTATGTGATGGGTTAACGGAAAATTTGAATCCTTACATGTAGTATCCATGTCACCACTGACTGTTAGTTCTGCTATAATAAAAAAAAAAATTCCTTCCTAACTGGAATATCTGGTTTGACCTAATGAGTACGCCTCAGCAAAGGGAAACACTATCCCAGCAGCACTTTTTCATTTGTCAAATGTAATGGCTGATCAGTAATTGGAGAATCCTGCTGTTGAATTCTTTAAATATTTTATTTAATGGGAGTGGATTAGTGGGAGTGGCAGTAGTACAAGGAAATGCTTAAAATATTCAACAAGAAAAAGACCCAAGCAAGATAATAAATCTTTAATATTAGGTTTTCATATTTGAATCTTTTAAATATATTTTAGGCACTACTTAAATTAACAGGTCCCACAAAAAAACAAATGTAAAAATTAATAGAGAAAAAATTGGGAGAGTAATAATTTTTATAGATCAATATTTATTAGATCTTTCTAGAGCAGTATTTCTCAACCAGGGTCCATATGGACCTGGGGGTACCCACAAAAAAATAACAATTGGAGATCCACACTAATATTTTAGTGGCTCATAGACCAATTTTGCTTCAAAATGGTTGTTACAACTGAGAATTGGAATTTTTACAGTAGTCTGCACCATATTAAAATGCTAAAAATAGAAAAATAACTCTAAAACTAGCAGAAAACAAAATCAAGCAATGTAAACATAAACTGGCACTCTTCAGTGAGTGATTTGTTCTGGGCAACTTTTAAAAAATTTTTCTTTTTTCCTTCTCCTTCAATTGCAAGGAGATTTGTTTCCTTTCAGTAGTTTTTCTTAATTCCAAATTCTTAATTCTTAAAATTTTTAATCAAGATTAATAAAATGTTCCCTGTTTTAAGAAAAAATATATACATATATAATTCATTATATAAATTTAATTTTTTGTATATATGAAATTTATTTATGAATAAATAATATTAATTTTAAATATTAATAAAATATTAATAGACTTGACATTGTGAAAAGGGGTGATCTTCAACTATCATTGACATCGATGGAGCCAAATAAAAAAAAAAAAAAACTCACAGAGCAGCATCAACCACAGGGATCTCATTGAATAAATCTCCTTTTTTTTTTTTTAATTATTCAGACATTTTAAAATGGTTTATTAGGAGTTATTTTACTAGTGTATAAATGTTCCATAAAATTTAGTTGTTAAATACAAGTTCATTTTCATTCAATTAGTTTTACTTCAAAATAGAGCATATACTTTTACTATTTCTATCATACAATTCCTAAACTCCTCTATTAGTAAAAAAAAAAAAATAAAATAAGCTTTTTTTGTTTATTTTTTTTTCTTTCATCAAATAGTTATGGCAGTCCACCAAAAGTAGTCCACAGGTTAAAAAAAAAAAAAAGTTGAGAACCACTGCTCTAGTGCCACATGATTTATCTGAATCAAAAAAATATTGATTTTTATCATTTTAGAAAAAAGATCTTATTCCCAATATAGTCTCAAATCAATCCTGGACATAGTTATCGGTACATAATTTTTTATTTATAAATATCAAATTTAAAACTGTGCTTATAATTAATTATGTGTACAACTGATATTGCCAAACTGTTTCTTACATCCTCAATTTTTTAAGTTTAAAAGATTTTTATAAAACGATTGCTTTTTTTTTTATGTTAAGGTAATTTTGTTACACAAACAATTGTTTGTTTAAAATATTTTCTTAAATGAAAATGTATATATGCTTGCTCTTTAATTAAAATAAAATCTTGGTTAAAAAAATTTATTTTGACAGAACATCTTTAAGAATTGGAGAAGTAGGAAAATCTCTAAATTTAACATTTTGTAAATAAAAATGTAATTGTAGTGGTATATAGATTAACCAATTAACATAGCCGGAATACCCAGGCTATATAACTACTCCAATTAGAAGGGGAAAACTACTACACATGAGCATTGAGTAGTAACACAAAGGACTTCACAACAGAAATATTGATTGGTAACTTTTTAAGTCTGAATTTATATTATGAACAGGACCCCCTAACCTGGTTCTAAAATGAAAAAAAAAAAATTTTTTTTTTTTATTCTGACAAACAAATGTCCTGGTTTGAGGAAGAGCTAATTTTTATTTTAATATTATAAGGTAACTAGTTAGTTTTAGTGGTCCCATATTTTATTTCCCTTTGTCTTTTCATTAATCTCTCTTCACCTTCTGCCTTGGAACTATATGCCATTGTTATAGACACCACCATCTGGTGTTACTGATGCAAGAGTGATTGTTCCCATACAGTAAAAAAAAAAAAATTATTAGACAATATCAAAACTAAAACACAGGATATTCTTCAAAGAGTTGATAAAAAGTTCCTTGCCTAACCAACACACCTTTACAAATAAAACAAACCTGTTCATCTTTTATAATTGTGCATAAGGATCGATTCTGTTTGTGTGTCTCAGCTTACATCAGTCGAGTAAAACAGCTTGCATTGGTATATTTACCCAACCTCCGCACTAAAGCAGGATGTGACACAAGGTAATTTTAATGTGAGTAGCACCATACATATATGTATGCATATGAGCGAAGGATCAAAATTTTTGGCCAATCCCAGCAACCACTGTCATGATGGCATTGATATGAAACTGATTTGCTTCTCTTACTGCAATGAGGAAGGTGTTGCTGCAGGGATGGAATTCTTTGGACTGGGGTGTCTTCTCTCATCTAAAATGAAGTGTTTTCTCTACTTCTGGCCAAAAGCAACCCTCTGCAGCAAGTATATTTACCCAGCATCCACACTAAACTGACACAAGGTTGTTTTAATGTGGAGAGCAGCATACATATGTATATGGGTCAAGGACAAAAAAGGATGTTGGTGGTGGTTATACCAAACATAAAGCAAGGAATTGAGCCCCTTTGAACTTTGTCTTTAATGTGTATAGACAATCTAATATAAACACTTAACCTATGAGGAGACAAGAAGAATCCTTCACACACTCACAAGATAAAACATTCAAAGGCCTGAGACCACATATCTTTGAGTTGGTCAAAGTTAATTTGATGGTGTCTAAAAGTGAATAACAATTTTTTTCAAATATAAAAAATTTAGTCTTGTATTTTCATCAGAAGTTAATATAATTACACAAGCATAATTGTGACTTAAAGAATTGTTTTTTGGTAACATTTTATTTTTTACAGTTGATGCTGCAATTGATTTGAGAAAATATTTTGCCAAATGCATTTACAACTCTATGGCTGGATTTGGAACCAGCGATTCTGATCTCATTCGGCTGATAGTTTCCAGAAGTGAGGTATAAACTTTTATATTTATTCACATATATTAATGTATATTTAATTAATTTTTAATCTTTTTCATGCATTACTAGAATTTTAATTCCTTCAAAGCTAAGTGTTGTCATATAAGATAGCTTTTTATGCTTTTCTTTTTTAAACTCCAGTACAACAGCAGTTACAGTAGATTAAAAAATTAATCAACTTACTATTACTAATCATTTGTAATGCTTAAGTATACTACAAAGCAAGACCATAATACTATATATAATATAGAAATTTAAAACCTTTGTTATATAAGGTTTCTGATAGTAATGTGTGGATGGTGTAAAATTCCAGTTGACTTTGTTACATCCAATTACATGCATGAGAGTATTTATTCATCTTCCCCCCAATTATGGGTTAAAAAGTAGGATGTATGTAGAAAAATCATTGTCTCCCAAAAATTAATGCAATATTTACTTGCAAAAAAAATTATTCTTATAATCCAAAATTTTTGGTTATAAATAATCCCTAAATGGTTGATAAACCATAAAAAATCCAAATCAATCAAGCAGTAATTAAAAAAAATTTTTTTTTAAAAAAACAAGAATTGATTCAACTTCCTTAATGGAGATGCTACTGTTTTTTTTTTTTTTTTTTTTTTTTTTTTTATTATTTTTGACAAATTTTTGCATTAAAGAAATTTAGTTTGTGGATTCATAAATGTTCAATTAGTTTATATATCTTTTTATATACATCCTATACAAAAAGTTAATTTTTTTACTTATTTATTTATTTATTGGTGGGTGTATGATTATGGTAAAAATAAGAACCATTTATTCACATATGAAGAAGTGTTGAAAATTTTTCTAAATTACTTCCCAAAATCTAATCAAACATCAGTCTTTCATTACCTTTCCTGATAAGTCTAAGAACTTTTCAACACACTCCTGTTTATATATATATATATATATATATATATATATATATATATATATATATATACACACACACACTCTTCAAAATCAAGTTTTGTTTATTTTGATTTAAAATTTTAAGACGTTTTCTGCACTCTTCTGCATTCTTTCAATTTTTTTTTTCTTTTTCCCCTTTCGGGTTAAAACCAAAATTTTAAAGTCTTTTGGAATTGCTCTTTGCATTTTTCTTAAAGCATTGTATGAAGCTTTATTTTGTACAATTCTATTATTTTGCTTAACTTTTCTGCATATATTCATTATGGCTGGACCTATTTTTCTTATATTCCTCTTTGTTGGCTTTCATTCATTTTCAGTTTCTTTTATAGATTATATTCACATTATTTTTCAGCCCTTTGTTTCAACAGTGGTAGTAGTGTGACAATTACTAATTTTAATCAAGTGAATGTGAAATTAAATTTAAATTGTAAATTACATATGTACATATATAATGATACTTGTAAAAGAATATTTGGTAAAGTTTAGCAGTTGCATCTGAAAAAAAAATCTTAAAGGATAGTTTTTCTTTTGACACCACTACTACTGTATACACCCTTGACAATTTTTGTGTTAAAATGTTTTTAGAATTTTAATAAAATGGATTTATCCTTTTTTTTTTTTTTTTTTTTTTTTTTAGAATTGACAGCAAAAGTAAAAAATACTTTATTTTATTTACAAAAATAATTTTATATTTACAAATTTTATAAAAAAAAAAAAAAAATTGATTTATAAAGAGATAACTATGAAAATAGATTTTTTTATTCTTAAATTTGTAAGGATGTGTCAACAAGAAAATTTAAATGAACACACAACGATGGTCTTGGGTAAGAACTACAGCCAACAGCAAGGTTTCTGATTGGGAAGTTTTGAGGAGTATGGGACTATCTCTTAATTGCTGGTGTTCCTAGGTTCACCCTGACCTGGGGTGATAGCACCTGTTAGGGGTCCCAGCTATGAACAAATAGTTACCCCCCCCCCCTAAACTGGGGTTGAAATACTATGAAAGTGTAAAATTAGGTTTTAATACCGTCAATACATTTTTGGAAAAAAAATATTACCAGCAATAAATTCTTGAAAAAGATATTACCAGGAATAAAAATCTTGTCGGCACTAAATAACCCATTGAGGTTATGCCATAAAACAAACCAAACAATGAGGAACTATAATTATAAATTTTGAAAAAATGCATTTTTCAGGCATTTCTTTCATTTTCTCTCATCACATTAATTTGATAATATAGTTTTCAAGCATCTGGATTTATACTTTTTTCTTGAATTAACAACAAAATGTTACAAACTATTTATTAGACTTGTTTAATTATAAAATTAGTGTTTGATATTTTGGTTGCCAATTCTCAAAAAAAAAATCCAGTTTCATATATTTGGGTTTAATTAAAATTCTAAAAATAACTTAAAACCAATAAAAATTTGCCAGGGAAACATACAGTAATAAGTGTCAAGAGAAGAAACATTTTGGCACATCATGTTTTGTTTTTTGTTTTTGAGGTACATTTAAAAAAACTCTGAATGTTTTATAAGTATTTTATTTATACAAAGTATCAGCATACAATGCTTATTAAATTTTATTTTTCAAATGAAATAGTCCCTGAAAAACACATTGATATGTTTTTGTTTGTTTTTTTCTTTCTAAATCCCTGTCGCTTATAAATTGTCTCGTTTTTTATTTCATGTCATTTTGATTTTCTTTTTGCTTCATTCATTACTTTAAAAACTTTTAGACATGGTATTTCTAAAAATAAAAAAACTGGCACTAATATATTAGTACTTGTCTTATTGAAGTAGTTAATATATTCTACTCTCAGTTCAGACAAAATAAATAAATAAATGTCTCATGATAAAAATCAGGAAATTAAAAATAAGAGAACTCTCCAGTTATCTTAAATACCGATAATGAACTTGTGTAGTACAATTTTATTTGATACTAAAGTATAAAAAATAAAAGTAAAATCTTTATTTTATTTGCTAATTCTTAATATTTTTCATCATTTCTATTGCTGCAAAATTTAAACCAGTTGTTTTAATACGACAAAGCTAAGCAATAAATCTTTCATTGTCACTCTGTAAGGGACATAACTCCTCCAGACATCGTCCCTTAACACAAAAATGCGTTATAAACATTAGTTATGCTTTCTTTAATATGCTAGCCTTTTTTGTAATATATATATATATATATATATATATATATATATATATATATATAATCTTACTACAGCTTTGCTACTAACTCTTTAGTTTTTATGTCTCCCCATCAAATGCCAAAAAGAATGAAGTGTAAGAAAATCTTATTTGAGCTTTTGATTTGAATAAGCAGATTTTTTTTTTTTTTTTTTTTTTTTTTTTTTATAGACCTTTTGGCTTTTAAATATTGAAAAAGAAAAACCTTGGAATTGATTTGTTCTTAAAGATATTCTTAATTTAATTCATTTTTATGTCACTTTATCTTTGTGTTGGTGTAAATAGTATTTCTTACACAATTTGATTAGATTTTATTTTTCCACATAAAGGGGTCCTTTTGTGACCAAAATTTTGCTATAATGTTGCAGTATATTATTTACTAAACTTATTTTACATTTAACACAGGGCCATGAGTATGTGGCACCCAGTGAGAAACCAACTCACTACTAAGTGGTAATGATGTGGGGAAATTGATTCATTATTATCCATGTCTGTCATGGAAAATGGCTTCCTTCTCTAATACTTGCTAGTTTCTGTTTGAATTTCTGGGACAAGGAATTTATAATTGTACAATGTTTTCATCTTTTTTTTTTTTATCATCACACTATTTCAGCTGTTGTGATATCCAACCTTCTTCAGGTGCCTGTCATAGTAACCTATAAGGAATTTTCAAACTGAATCCTTTAATCTGTGATTGTAGATTGCTCTCATTCTGTTTGTTTCCTTCCTAAGGATAACTCATCTTGTTTGAGTTCTGCTTGGTCACTGCTACTCTTGTTTCCACCAAGTCTGTGTCTTTTACAGCCTGGCCCAGGGATTAAATTCACAATTACTATGACATGGGACAATAGTAGATTAAAGTGTCGGTCCATGATTTTGTTGGTAGAGTAATTGTGAGTCTGTACAGACATTATTATTAATAATAAATAAAAAAAAAATTAAATAAATAACATTAAATTAAATAAAACCAAAATAAAATTTGTCCTGGCCTGCAACAAGACATTCCTGCTTGAAAATGTATACTTTTCACCAAAAATCACTGAACTCACTCTCTTCACTACCCCAACCCTCAAAGAGTCAAGACGTCCATCTCCTCTCTTTGGCACCTTGCTCGTCATAAGACAAAGTGACTTTCTTCCTCTATTACATGCAACCTGAAACACATAACTAAAATATATACATACCAGTACACACAAATAAAATTGATTTTAATTTACAATTTAACATGCTTTTAGTGTTATTTCTTTGTTTTTATTCCTGTGAACATGAGGCTATCTCTGCTGGTATGATGCGAGTGAACTCACAAGTTCAATCCCTGGACTGGATGGTACAGACTCACTCAGAAAATAGGACATGCAATCTTTGTATGGTGCTAAAGAGAACAAAAAACATCCCTAGACATAGGCAGCAGAACAATTTATGCCTAAAGATTAAATAAAGGGTTCAGTTTGAGATTCTGGACAGTTACCTGAATCAACAAACACCTGAAGAAAGTGAAATATTATAATAACTACAGCAAAGATAAGGATATTGGTCTCATTATAAATAATATAAAAATTTGCTAGTTATTCAAAGTGGATTTTCCAACACAATTACTGTATTTTTTGGCTTACAAGATGCTGCAGCTTAGAAATTTCTTTCCAGAATTAGGGTGTGTCTTCTAAGAAAAAAGTCATTCTCATACAACACATTCACCATGCATCCCTCACATACTGGTGTCACATACTATTTACATTAATCGCTCATCCAATTTTGTTTGTATGGCAATGACATATGCGTCAAGAGCAGAAAGGCTCCTGCTGCTGCTAGTAAACAGAGCATGTTTAAGCTTGTGGCTTGGCTCTAGGAAGGTTTATAGTCTTGGAAATACTTGTAACAGCTAAGTACTGAAGTTACATCATATAAAATGCTGAATTAGCTAATATACAAATCCACGTCCCTATCAGTCAAGCCAGTTAGGTAACTATCCAAGCTTACTTGAGCCTGGGTGTTGCCTTACATTCATCTTGGAAAATGCACACATATTTTTGGGGGTATTTTTTTTGGAAAAAAGTGCATCTTGTAAGCCAGAAAATACAATAGAAATTAAATTGCAAAGATTACAATTCAAGAGAAAAAAAAGACTAATGTTCCTTTACGTTGAAAATTCTGAATAGAAATTTCTTCAAATGTTTTGCTTATCTTTAAGTTTACTTTAGGATGACCACCCATTCTACTCTTTCCCTACATAGGGTATGGACTATTGTTCAGTCTTTTTGAGCAAATCAGTTTCACTTGTGATTCTTTTGAGCATCTGACACTTTCAAATTTTCATAATGTCTGATAGATGTAGTAGTAAGCAGCTCAAATAAATTTCTTGCCATATCTTGAAACCTTCCCAAATTAATATCAGTTCAATCTCAATTCTTCAGGCTTGAATCATTCTTCCATCTCAGATTTTTACTTTCTTGAGCTAAGTTTCAATTTTAAGCTAAGCATCCATACTTATTTCTTCCTTTTCAGGTCGACTTGGAGGTTGTGAAGCATATTTTTCAAGAAATGTATGAGAAGTCATTGGCAGAGTGGGTCTCTGATGAATGTAGTGGAGACTACAAACGCATTTTGTTGGCTGTCATAGGTTAAATTCTTATGTCTGTTTACAGTTTTTATCAAAGTAGAAAATGGGGGCAGATATCTGTAATAAGGGAACAAAATATCTTTCCTCCACGTTTCTTAAATCTACTTGCATTATATTCATGTAAAATATATTTTACACCCAGAATCTAAATTTATCTATTTTTCCAACTGTTTTGGAAATTTCTTTTACAAATTCACATATTGCCTTTTCTTTATAATAGACCATTCATTGCTTATAATAAAAAAGAAATTACCTACTCAGTATATTGTTATTTCTCTCTTGTATACAATGTAAATTTTATTTAGGGCTTTATATGAAATTTTAATTTGTAAACTGTATTGTATACAAAAAAATGGCGTTGAATAGTTCTTTCAAAGTTTTTCATAAAGGTGAAACTAAAAAGTACTTTTGTTAGTTTGGTAATTTTGTATTTCTTGTTAATTTGGTGCCAGTACTGGCATCTTGAATCCAGCATTTTGATGAACAGGAAAACTTAAATGAAATTTTATTTCAAGCATTATTGTTGATGTTTTGGAAAAACTTTGATAATTTTTAACAAAATGAACAAATTTAAATTGTCAGTTAAAATCAAATAAATTTTTATCTTGAAATAAAATGTTGTTCATGTGGTCTGTCAATTCTTTAGAGTTAGAAATTTGCATGGACACATTTTCAGAATAAAATTGGCTTGAATATTTTTAACTTTGTGTTTGTGTGCAAATCATTTCTCCACCCACAAAAATTTCCCTTTTGTTTTTGTTTTTTTTTTTTTCCTTTATTTCTGTTTTTGTTTAGATTTTGATAGTAATTTGAAGTAAGGGTTTTTTTTTTCTTTTCTAAGGCATCTTTAGCAGTAAGTTTGGTATCACAAACTGATTAAACTAGTATGGGGCCAGGAACATATGTTATAAAGGGACCTAAAATTTAAAAATAAATATCCATAAATATTAACTCCTAAATTATTTATTAGCAGAGGGGTACAGCTTTATTATCATTATGCCTCTTGCTTCCTTCGGGAACATAGGGCCACAACAACACTTTTCTAATGGATGCAGTTACAGGCAATCCTCTTCAGCTCGGGCCATGTTGTGCCAGCTGCCTTCACCTCTGTGTCAACACTTCTTCACCAAGTCTGTTTTGGTCAACTCACTTTTCATTTCTCTTGTGGATTCCAGTGAAGGGATTGCCTGCCTGGTGACACTAGAAGCAGGCTTGCGGAGTGTGTGGTTGATCCATTTCTTGATGTCAATCTCGATTGGGGCTTGTATGATCCTGTCCCACAGTTGGTCATTGGAGACAACTTCCCTTGTGGATTCCAGTGAAGGTCCTGCCTGGTGACACTAGAAGCAGGCTTGCAGAGTGTGTGGCTGATCCATCCCCATTTCCATTTCTTGATGTCAATCTCGATTGGGGCTTGTCTGGTCGTGTCCCACAGTTGGTCACTGGAGACTACTTCCGGCCATCTGGTGTTCCTGAGACATCGGTTGGTAAATGTCTGAAGTTTGTGGGTGTTGGTCTTGGTTACCCATCAGGTTTCTGAACCATAAAGTAGGACTGACTTGATGTTGGTGTTGAAGAACTGGATCTTGTAAAGTGAGAGGGCTTTTGATCTTCAGATTAGCCACAGTGTGTTGAAAGCATGCTGGGCTTTGTTGATTTGGCACTTTGTCTTCATCTGTTTCCCCACTCCCATCTTTCACTAGACACCATTATTACTGTATACTCACTTAGCTATTTTTAGAATTTGAATAAAACCAAAATGTATGAAACTGGATTTCTGTATTCTCTGGTTTAACTTTGCCAAGAACACTTGGGTAAATGAGGTTGAAATTGATTCTCAATATTTAATAACATCTTTAACCTTCTTTTTTTTTTTATATCTAAAGTAAATTCTTGAACCTTGAAGATAACTTGACTAATCATTTACAATGAAGTGAATTTTTTAATGTTAAAAGAAATATTCTAAAATTTTTGCATTAAATTATTTTAGCAGTTCTTAGTCTTTGAGAGTTTGATGTGAAACTATCAACACTCCTAAGTTGATCCTAAATTTCTAAGTTTTTTTTTAAAGTTTTTTTTTTACCTGTCTTTGTACTAAGACATTGATATTTGTTTCTTAACAAAGACTGTTAAATGTAGACATATACTTTCAAATTTACTTGTATGATATTGGAGCCTGAATAAATAAATTAAAATAAATTTTAAATGTTTATAAAGTGCAGGAATTAATATTAAATTGGAGTTTAGTAGAATACGTGAGAAAAAATAATGTTATTTGTTTTTTTATGCATCAAACTTTGCATATAAAAAAAAAAATCTAAATCTTGCATATTTATTTATAAAGAATTATGAATCTGCAAAATTTGTCTGACATTTTTTTAAAACATTAAAACTTTTCCATTATTTACATCATTTGAACTGTTGTCCTCACATTTACTGCCATATTCACATCGTTTCTGCCATTGTACACACCAACCTTCTTCAGGTGATATACATTGGAATTTTGAACTGAACCCTTTTAGTCAACAGCGGTAGATTGTTCTAATTTTACATGCAATCAACCCCCATGGACTAAATAAAGGGTTCAGTTCAAAATTCCAATATATACCATCAGAAAAAGGTTGGAGCATACAATGGCTGAAAGATCTTGAATATAGCAATAAAGATAAGGACAACAGTTTGAATGATGTAATTATTGCAAATAGTTACAAAACCTTATTTTAGAAATATAGACAGATATTAAAAACCTTATATACAGATAGATGCAATGTTTGATTACAGAAAAACGTTAAACAATTTTAACATAATTTACAAATGCCATATTAAGCAAAAGATGTTTTGCCTGCACAATCATTACTAGAATAACATAATTCCTCAGCAATTTAACCTTGTGCTAGACTGTTGGAAATCCATTATCAAGCATTTGGAAAATTCATCTTGCAGTCCACTTGTTGCTTATAAAGACTTACCACTAATCCATTAAAATTGACTGAAATTAAAAACAGAAACAATCGCTGAACTCTTAATTTGATCAGTTTTAAGATTAATAAGTTTGATGGTGTAGAATGTGGAGTTAGTTCCCCTTTGGCAAAATAGCTGTTTGAAAAGGTAGAGCTACACAAGTTATTTGCATGTGAATAGTTATAAGATTATTGGCTAATCACTGAACGTGTGTGTGTGTGTGTGTGTGTGTGTGTGTGTGTGTGTGTGTATATATATATATATATGAGAGGCCATTTTGGAGTGAAGGTGATCAAAATGAAAAAGGTAAATCCAAGCAGAAGTTTAACATAGAAGACATCAATAAAAGTAGTTTTAAGGATTGTTTTTAAAATTCTTTCTAAAATAAAATTAATATTTTCTTTATATCTGTAGCTTATTACCAAATTGACTGCATTGTCTGGTATTTGCATATCTTTTAATGATTCTTTAGTAAAAAGATTAACTTTTATGTTAAAATTTATTTAGTTGCAATAAGTTTGCATCCTTGTGAAATCAAAGTGGTTCCCCCCAAAATAAATCTAAGTTTGAATAAACTTTTATCTATTTATAGTTTCACCTTTTTATTGACCTTACAGAAATTACAAACATGCTGAGGCCTAGATTTCTTTCAAGAATTTTTTTTTTTATTTTGCTTCATGCTGCTGCCTTGTTCTGTTTTCTTCTTTGCCAATTTTTCACTTGTGCTTTTTTAAAATTTTTGCATGAATAAAAAAAAAAAACACTTTTTGTATACATATTTTTTCTATTAAATGTATTTACCCACTAACAGTTTTCACTTGTTAACATTTGTTTCTATTCTAAAAAAAAAGACTAATCAATTATTTGTCTTTAGATTCATAAATCCAGTTTGATTCTTTTAAACATTCTGTCAGTAAAACATCTTTAGACAATGTTTAAAATGATATCTTCATGGGGTTTTGTTGGACTTTTTTTTTTTTCTTTTTTTCTTGACAGGAAAGATGTTTTTGAAAGGTGGGGGCGTTGAGCTGTATATTAAGCAAAACTACATCGTCATCTTTTAAACAACTGAAAACCAATTAACTGAGCTGGCTCTTGTTATGCAAAATATTTATACTTTGAATGCTTACACATTAAATCTACACAGTTGCTTTTTATTAAATAGGAGCAAGTAGGAAAACTTTTGTAAACTTGACATATTTAGCTTCATCAGAAATTTTTTAAAGTAGAATATAGTTTTGATTGTTTTAAATTTTGTACTTTTCATTGGTTAGGTAGATGTTGTGTTCATTTTAAGATGTTTATATATATATATATATATATATATATATATATATATATATATATATATATATAATGTATTAATTTTATGGGCATCATGTGTTTACCTCCAGACATGTGTTTAATTCTTGAAATGTTAGTGCAATTTGTACATTAAAAATAAATTGGGTATATTAGTGTATTTTAATTGTATAAATATGATGAATTCAATCATTTCACCCCAAGCAAGGCAATAAAGCCACTAAGATGCAAAGTGGGGGGGGGTTAATGAGTGTGAGGAAAAAAAAAAAAACAAAAACAATGAGAACAATAATTTCAACTATAAAATGATGAAACTTTGTTGCCACTTTAGTACTGCACTTAATTTCATAAAGTTTAGGTATTAAAGAACCATTTCCATAAAAAATATTTATAGAAAAGGCAGAAGGCAGTTACATTATGGCCTGGTATTCTTTGGGAAGCTGGAAGTGTGAAATGGTCTTGCATGACATCATGTGTGATGGTTATTGGGTACAAGGCTGCACAAACTAATGCAATTTATTTTTTTATATTAATACTAATAAAATATGTGCACACATTAATTATGCTGGTCAATGTGCAGAGATTGTCATGAATGACCAAACTACAGCTATCAACATAATACAAAAACTAATGGATAACACTAAAATACTCTGACACCCAGTGCAAGGAAAAACTCTAAATATTCATTTTCACACACACACACTAGTTGTAAATGACTAATCTTTAGAGTGAAACTT